AACCACTGTTGCAGTCACACTACGTTCCGGTACGCATGCTTTATTAGTGCAGCACTGCAGGTAAGTTGATGCTTCTGAGTGTTTTGTTTTGTATCGAGTCCTATCAGCCGGCGGAGAGTGTTAACGAAGATGCAAGACTCTGTAACACCGTTCGCTCGCTCACTCTCACTCTCCTTCTTTCGATCCGGCATGAACGTGCCGAAAATAAATTCGCCTCCAAAGTGCTTCGATGGCCACTATTTCCGCCGTGAGATGCAGCAATATGGAGTTCTGACGAGAATGAAAACGGAACGTGAGGAGGATGGCTCACGCGCTAAGACGCAATCGCCCTGACGCGCGCGCCCGCGAGCACATGGTGGCGTCGTCGTCCTTTTCGTTGTCTGTGTGATACGTGTGCATAGGCTGAAATAATCGATGGCAGTTGCAGCGGTAACATCGGCCGCAACCAGAACGCGGTGCTTACGTGAGCATGTCTCGTGGTTATCATCATCATCATCACCAGGTGGTGAAGAGGAGACCGCTTAAGGTGATATAATCGCCTTTTTTAACTGTCATACAGTCTCCTGTACCGCTTTGCCCAAACTAGAACATCAGCGCGTTATGACAGCTGCCCCTGTCGGATGTTCGAACTGCCTTTACGCACAGGATGTCTCATTCTGTCTCCTCTAATTCACACAGATTTTCAGGTGACCCGATTTTAGAAACTCCCCAGCCTCGGTGGGAGTCGAAATCAAACAGCAGGGAAGGCTTTTGCGCAGCCAACGCTCTACCATTGAGCTACGACGCTCACCGTGAGCTGGTGAGTCGGTGGGTTCGACTCCCACCGAGGTCGTGAATTTTTTCACAATTTTATCAACTGAATTATTCAAATCTGCCAAACCCTCCTACTAATCACACAGGTTTGCCAGCAGTAAGCGGGCCCAGGTAGACAGCAGATTTAAGTTACCAATCCCGGAGAAAAGTAATTTTTTTTAAAATGTGCTCAGGGATTGCATACAATCTAGGGAGGAAAGTAAGTGAAGTGGTCGCACCTTTAAAACCAATGTCAAATACTTATATTCGAGGGATTCGACATTGAGACGGGTGACGATGGGACTGCCGCTGACTGCCTGGTCCACGGTGTTGCGTCGACTCAGACTGACAAGACTCCAAAGGAGGCGGGGACCCACACGACCTGCAGGACCCTTGGGTGGTGGAACGATTCGAAAGAGCAGTTTGTAAATCACGGGATCCTCCCTGCATTAATAATAGGAAAGAGAGCCGATAAAAGTACAGTGTATTGAGTAAGTTTTCAGAGAGTTAATGATGTTGCAAACTGTCCCGTTGATATAAAAACTGTTTCGAAACAAAACGTGGGAATAGGAATGTCACACAATGAGAAAATAGGTGCCGCAGGGCGCAGTTAAGTCACCGACACCCACAGTTTTGCAATAGGGTGCAATAGGGTGACAGATGTTCATGTCCCGAAACCTCAGTAGATGGGTCACTAGATCGACTACATTTTTGTTCTGATGTATGCCTTTGTCATTGCCTGCCGTCTCTGATTCCACGAAGGTACAGTGTCGTAAACACCCGATATGTTGTAATGACTTCCTTGAGAGAAGTCGTACCATGTAAGAAGTACCGATAGGTAAACAATTAGATGCATTCAGTTGATAGTAGTATTCGTGAAGGTAAAAGTCGCGGATGAAGATCCGACATTACTCGGGGCTTAATAAGTAGGCACTGAATCTATGAAATAAGTCCGGTCTATGGACTGTACTTCGCCTGTATTTCGCCTCAAACCAAACGATTCAAGATATTTCTGTTCGTTACGATAGAATGGCTCCATTCAAAACCTTTGAACTCCTTTTGTAACGTAGGGGAGGAAGGAAGCGATGCAATTTCCCAACTATACAATAAAAGCATCTGAAAATGTGTGTTGTTTGCCTAGCAAAAATTCAGGGTTGCCGTTTATCCAGATTCTGACAAGTAAAAACCATTCAAAAGCAAGCATCTCGCGCCAATTTGCCTTATTTTTATCGTTTGAAACATCTAATACCTAAAAATATTTTTCGGAAAAAAATCGAAAAGGCAACCTCCGCGTGCTGTTTCGGCCAGAGATGCAAAATGGGGGCAAACGACTATTAAATGAATTGAGGTGATATGGCGGGAGGCATGGGGTTGGAGGTGGAAAAAACGGTGGCACAGGAAGCCTGCTTTTAAAGGGGTGTTAGACAAATCTATTTTCCCGAATGAAACTAAACTGATAGGATGTATGTACCGGTCGGGGATCCGGGTTTGGAATCGTATTTGGACAATTCGAGGCGAACTGCTGCACTAAGCACAAACTACCAAGCTCTGACTGCGTGTGTGGTTTGACTA